GATTTATAAATCAATTATTCAATGAAAATTAACTATAAAAAGTCATGTGATATGCTAAAATTCATATCACAACAATAATAATTATTCAAAAAAATATAGAATTTATAATAAAATTTAATAATTATAAAAATAAAAATAATTTAGTTATCACTAAATAACTTTTAATTCTTATTAAATAGTATAATTAGTATTTAAATACTTATAATTAAAGTTGTAGTTTTTAGTTAGAGTTACAAATTAGTATATAATACTATAATCAAATTTCTTTATAGTTATTACTCTTGAAAAAAAAAATCTAATATTTATAAAAAAAATGTAATTATAGAGAAGTTTTTTACTATATTTATATATAAATGAGAAAGTAAAATAGAGTAAATATAGAAAAATATAACTATAAGTGGACATAAATATAGAGAAATTTTATTATATATACTAATTCTAATTGAACTCAAATTAGATTTGAACTTATATAATAGTTCAGTTTGAGTTCAGTTCAAACTTTGAACTTTTATTGAACTCAAGTCAAAGTCTGATTCAAGTTCAATTCAAATTTTGAATTAGACTCAAATTCAGATAAAAATCCACTTTAGTTCAGTTTATAGAAATACTAATTATTTTTTTAATTAAAAAAATAGTAAATTACACATTAAATAAAATAAAAATGAATAAATTTTTTTTCAAATTTTGATAATATTTATATATATTTGAAATTTAAAATAAATTATTTTATATTTTAAACTTGTTTTAGTTTTTATATTAAAATTAACTTTCAGATTAAATCAAAATTTTTATATTCTTGATAATTTTAATAAATGTATCAAATGATATTTGAATCTATTATTTTTTTAAATATTATATTTAATACATGATATAACTAATTAAAAATAATTCATATAATATTATATATATTAAAATTGAGTTATAACTATTAATAATAGTTCTAAAAAATTTTAATTTCTAGTTAAATAAAAATTTAATTATATTATATTATAATTTTATTAAATATTATTTAATAATATATTTTTTTTAATTAAATCTTTATTTAATAATATATTTTTTTAATTAAATCTTTAAATATAAGTTTATTATAATTTTAAATATTAAATAACTTTAGATTACTTATATTATAGTTAATTTGATAAAATTTTAATAATAATTTTCAATTAGTTTTTATTAATTAAATATTAAAATTTAATTTAAAAAAAATCTAGAATAAGTTGATTAAAATTAATATTAGACTTATTTTAATTTTTTTTAAATTAATATTATTATTTCAAAAATATTTTAAATTATTTAATATAATTTAAACTAATTAAACTAGCTAAAAATTTATATTGAGATTTTTATTAAATTAAATTTTCTAAAAATTTTTCAAATTCTAAAAATATTAAAAATTATCAAAAAATAAATTCTGTTTTTTTATAAAACAATCAATAGCTTATAAAACTAAATATTATTTTTAAAAGAACATTTTAAATTACTACAAAAAAATTAATAAAGTATATAGTTAAATAATTATTTTTAAAAAAGCAAAATTGAGTAATTATAAAAAGAATGTAAATATAAAAAGATTTTTTACAAATATTACTATAAATAAATATAAATATAGTTAAATATCTTTATAGTTATCATTCTCAAAAAAGCAAAATTAAATAATTATAAGAAAGAGTGATTTTTTTACTATGTTTAAATGTAAATAGGAAAGCAAATTAAGATAATTATAAAGAGATATGACTATAAATAAATGTAATTATAAAGAATTTGATTTATTTTAATTATTAATTGGAACAAATTGTAATTTGAAACACAATATATATATTAATTCTAATTTTTAAAATAAAAATATTAATAATATAAATAAATAAAATAAAGTATAAAAAATTCAAAAATCTAAAAAATTATTAGCAATATTTGAATTCATTAGTCACGTATATTGAATTATATAATTTCTTAATGCTGGCCAAAATCAATTTGAATTTAATCTCTTTTTCGAATTCGCCAGGGTAGTTCTGGCCACGTGATAATTTTTTGATGACGTCACGAATATTTATAGTAAAATTTCGCAAGGAACATTTTTTATTAGAACACAAAAGATAGTTTCATAGGCTAGATTTTGAGATACAAGCTTTCTTTCAAAAATATGCATTTGTTTTGTTTATTTTTGAATTTTTGTGTTACACGTTAATCTTGTAATTTAATTGGTTATCATCGCTGACATAATCAAAAAATTATCACGTGGTCCGAACTTTTGGGGTCACCCTGGTGGATTCTCAAATTATATATCGATATACGTATACGTAATTTGCTTGCCCCCCCCCCCCCCAATACGAAGATACGACTGTAATAAAAAGAAATATACTATTTATTATCGTTATAGCGATAGTATACTCAATATCTAAAGTCATCTGTTATCGAATATCGAGATTCATTAAACAGCGAAACATTTATCTATTAATATTATATTTGGAATTCTACTATATTATATTTGAGAATTGAATTAACGAACAACTATTCATGATTATATTTTTTTACATTAGATCAATAATGAAGCGATAAAGGTGGTAACAAAACAGAAAGCATCCAGAAGGTGATGACTGTTGAGGTTGGTGGCAGCATTTTTTGTTCCTGATGCTGATGGTTTGGCACTGTCAGTGCTAGTGCCAGTAGTTTGAGCATTGCTAGTTGTTGCGGCGCTGGGAGTGGCTTTCGAAGTGCCAGACGATGTTGAAGAGGTTTGAGTGGCTGATGCACGCGATGAAGCGTCTGAGGCAGCAATACAATAAGTTGTGATTGATCCATCTACACCTGCAGCATCGGACTTGGATTGTGGGTCAGAAGGACATTGATTATAACACACTCTCAAATCTATAGAAAAGAAAGAGATCAAATTCAACAACCTGTTAATGAAAAATATAGCAAAAAATGAAATTTACCTTTATATTTTTGACAGAGGCAACCATAGTCAGTAGCAACACAACTATTGATGGCGTTTTTTAAAGTTGAGACACATGAATCTTGTTGAAGTTGTGCAGCACAAGCGGCTTCGCTATAAGGGACGTATGTGATCGCGAGTAAAACTACAAAGACTGCGAAAATATACTTCATTTTTTATAAAATTATTATGTTGTCGTATTAGAATTTATTATTTTATTTTTTGTGTATTGGGTGTATGAGTGTGTTTGCTTGCTAGATTGAATCAAACGAAACAGCAACAAGCACTAAAAAAAGGTGGAAAGGGCGTGGATTTATTCAAGAAAGTGCATAACGATCGTAGAATGATTAATTATAATATAAGGAAAATAAACCAGAAAAAGTTCATACACTCTTCAGCCCCGTACTGCACTGCACTGCAAGCAAATTCTCTTTAGCAAAGCTTGCATCTTACTCTCACTTTTTATGGAAATGACACAAGAAATCCCTTTTTAGATAAGCAAAACATGTCGATAGTGCGATATTATTTCCTATTATAGTTTAGACTCTTGAAATTCCGGGCCAATCACTTTTAAACATGCGTTTTACGAATTACAGTTGAATCGTTTCACAAATGATTAAATTAATAATTTTTACATTACACTATTTTCCCCTTGAGTTGAACAATGCGTTTTTGCTGAAGTTGAAAGAGAATCTAATTTCGATTTATGAAAAAAGATCTTTTGGCATGCAAGTGAATATGCATATCGATATCAGTACAACGTTGTTCCTCTTACCAAGGCGAAATTCGTAACCGAAATTTAATTTTTATCTCGAGCCAATGTTATTGTACATGTACATGACATGTACATGTATTATGTTAGTGAATTCCTAATCTTGTACTTGCACCTAGTCGCATTTGAATGTGGACATCCCACTATATAGTCTATATAAAAAAGTTTTTATTTGGGTCGAATTCAGCATCTGAATTACGGAAGAATTTAAATTTATCAAAATTTATATAACAAATTTAAGTTAATATTAACGTTAACAAATATGAGCGTACAGATTTCTATTATTTTTTATTTAGTTATATTTAAACAAAATATTAATTAAAATAAACAAAAATATTAATTAAAATAAACAAAAATATTAATTAAAATAAACAAAAATATTAATTAAAATAAACAGTCATACATAATTAGAAAGGGGGTGGGTATCCTAGTGGTTTTTGTGGGTGGATAATCGATATCTAGGAAATCCAGAATTAAACCCCTAGCACAGGTAAAGGTACAATTTTCCTGCATAGATTAAATTGGTTCATAACTATTATCGTTATTGTTATACATGTATAAACAAAATTGCGCGCTGAGCATTTTTAATTAGCGTTAGTCACTCGATCTTGGTATACTTAACTTTCGTTAACATTTGGGATCTGCGATCTTCAAATGATTGGTCGTTAAAATTTTTTCGTTTCTGATTGGTCAGTGCTCGTCACTAAGGATGATTATAAACGATTAGTAACAATTCTTTTTTGTAATAGCGATAGCGATAGTAAATCTTTATACAAAGTTAAGCTTGATTTTAAAGTACTTGATTATTTGCAGTTTATAGTACCTCGGATACTTTACATAGGAGAGTACAAGGTGTTATTTTAGTGTAAATGCAACTCGAGATTATTTTTGAATACTGTAAACCAAATTGTCAAATCTGTGTCTTATATACTTGTCGTTATAAATTCTCACCTTGGATTTAAATTGTCTTCAATTGAATTTATTAGCCTCAAGGTTTCATAAAGATCTAAAGATAAAATCTTGGTGTGTCTAATAGATATAAGAATGTTGAATTGTCTCTTCAAAGTTTCTTTCAAATAACGCACGTTTTGCTTGGCTGATATAATGATTGAAGTCATGTTGTGCAAGAAATTTTATTTTTAAATTCAATCGCTGTTTTAGAATCCGAAACTCGAAATGAATAAATACTTATAATGCTTTTTTTTGCTGTAAGAAATAATAAATGGTCTGAAAGCCTCCGTTTATAGAGATGGTCGCACATTATGCCTCAATGCGGTATTTAAATTTTGAATTATACTTTCATAGTTTCCCTTACTAACGAAGACAGCAGTTTGTAATCCTAATCAAAACCAATATTTTGAGTCTATCTCAGAGTTTTATTATAATATTCTAACTTTGTATTAGTTTTGCCAAGGAAGCATAGAGTATTCGAATTTTTGCCATTAATATCTATATTGATATTTTTTTCCAAATAATGATAAAATTCTGGCTGTTCATATTCACCAAAAAAATTATATTTTTGCGAAAAATATGTCTTTGGTATCATTGATTTGTATAATTGATACACTCAATGCAATACATTTGAGTCCTTAAATATGGATTATAAAATAGCTTACAATTATGATAAAAAAATCAATTATGTATTATAAAACTTGAAAGCTAATTTTGTAATAGTAAAAGTAAGTTTGCATGAAAAATGAGAAGCTTTTAATTGAGAGATAAAATCATTAAATAAATCGATAAGTTAATGAATTGTTTATTTATAGTTATTAAAAAGATTGAATATATGATGTTTTAGTTTATTCTATTGGGAGTGGTGTGTGCTTCATAGAAATTTCAAGATATTTAGCACTAAAGTTTGCAGTAACAGTAAATGTGTGGTCAACTCTGTTTATAATAAACGAACGGTTCTATTAATAAAAAGTTCATTAATGTATATCAAATTTATCAACGAACTCGGAATAAATTTAAAATTCGTGGTTGGACTGTATATAACGATAATACAAAAAATTAAAAATATAAAATACATGTACTATGTAGATAATGTGTGAATAAAACTTTATTTCTTTTTAGAAAAGTTATTAGCGTTAGCACATCGGGACACAAAAACGGAATTCACTTTATACTTTTAACTTTGACAGTCATCAGGATCACAAGTAGCGAGAGCACGAGCGACACATGTATCTAGTATTTCTTGATTAGCGCAGGCGGCTTCGCTATAAGTGACTTATATGATTGCGAATAAAACTACAATGCTACGAAAATATACATAAATTTTATTATTACGTACTATAAAATATATTATTACGTATCGGTATTTTGTTTTTTGTTTGTTGAACATCATTCTGTGCATAATGTGTGAAAATGGTGATAGAACAAATCAACCAAAAATGGAGTTCTATGACGATATCTTCTTTTAGCACGACAATATCGATAGAACGCACATAACGATAAGTAGAAGTTCTGGGAAGGTATGACTCTCTTTTTTAACATAACATTAATGAGAATACAAACATAATGGAAGTTAACTACATGGCTAAATAATAAATAGCGATAGCTCTTTTCTATAAAGAAGAAACTCTGATGCATATTATTACCGGGTTAAGAATAATTTTGTTAGTCTCCCAGTTTTGGTAAAACCCGCCTGACCCGATTTCGTTAGTTTATTTTCGCTTTAAAATTCTATTTTAAATTCGCTTTTGATTTCTATTTTGTTTTCGCTTTTGATCTTGCTCTTGTTTTCTATTTCTTTTCAATCTTAAATTATCTCTTAATAATGGAGTGCATTATGCAACAAGTTCCAAAACAATACTTCATAATGTAATCAAAAAGATGTATATATAGTCCTCGCATACGTTAATAAAGACACAGAATTAATTGCGCACAATTCCAAGAAAATTAAACTTGTAAAAATTGTTGTAATTGATTGTGGTTAGGTCCTTTGATCCAGAAATGGCGTTGATATTGTTAACGGCATATTGATTGATTGATTGAAAAAGCGCTTTGTGATTGAACAGTTTAAGGCGTTTAGCCAAAAAAAAAAGCAACGATTGGAATTAATAAGAAGAATATTGTCAATAAACCGACAAATAAAACATAAAACCCAAACCATCTCACCTAAAACCGACAAATTCCCCTCTCTACCGTCATACTGAACGATATCCGTAGATATCGGCACAGAAATTAGAAACGAACGAAACCACTCAGTCTAATCACTCCAACCCATTGTTACAGATAAAATCGTCGATTATGCCTAATCACAATCCACCCGTGACAATATACCTATTTAATCTTGTATGAAACGAGAAGTTCTTGATTGAGAAATAAATCATTAACGTTAAATAACTCGATAAATGAACTACGTACGTAATTAAATTATCATTATCATAAATAAATAAAACTACCCAGTAAAAAAATTATTGAAATTGTTTTGGTACGTCTGAGTCAGTCCACATGTCTTTACTTCAAATGATGTATGCCAAGTCTTGGATTTTACATAAAGTGAAAATTTTTCTTGATTACTTAGCACAGTTCCCTGACCTCACTCCCATTGAACATTTACAGAATGAATTTTAAAGATCATAAAAAAGTCCTCAAAGGCCAAAAAAGTCTAAAACTTGTTTCCTGTATAACAAGAGGAATGGAGCAATATCCCACCTGAAATTAATTGAAAACATGCCCATAATAAAATAAACGGACAACTCTGTTTATAACAAACTTACGGTTCTATTAATAAAAGTTTGATATATCAAATTTACTATATTTTATATACTCGTAATAAGTTTAAAATTTAAAGTTCGTTTATCCACAGTTGACTGTATTAATCGTTTAATTCAGTTAAACAAGGTCAACCGAATAATATTTGTGATTTTAGAATATGGCGTAGAAAGTACAGCAAAATACAAATTTCAATCCAAAAATAAGGCTTATCTATCACATTTGTGCTAATTTTCTAGTTATCCTTGGACTCGCACTCGTATAATATGTAATTGACTTGAGTTGACTCGAATCTTGACCCGAATTCTGACTCGAGTACTCTACGAGTCATAAAAATCCTAACTCGAACTGATTCGAGTCAGAACGAGTTGATTCGAATCCAAGCTCTAATCCAAAATATAATTAAAGCAAGGCTTGTTATATCATATTTGTGCTATATTTTCCTAGTTAAGTGCTGTGGTTTTATTGATTATAGGGAAATTCAAACGAGGTCTCGATACTAAATCCGAACAATGTCAATTTTAATCTCAATGATATCGAAAACTTTTATATATATGGGTACAGTTGAGCCAAAAAAAAATTTGGCAGACTCGATCCCCCCTGGTTTAGTCTAAATATAGTTATTATTTGTTAACTCTATCTGCTAGACAGATTATAAAATATTGTTAACAATATCAATTCTAACTTTAATAATGGCTATTTAAGAATAACTGAACCGGTTATTTCACGAGTTAACCGATCATATATTTGGCCCAATTGATTCGGTTAATCGGTTACTTACACTAATCGGTCAAAGTCACTAATACTAATAACCACCAAAGTGGAGAATGTATGAATAAACACATCATTTCTTTTTAGAAAAAGTTATTGACGAGTGAAAGGAAATATTAACGCTAAGTTTACTATTGTTTGGGATTGGTTGTTGTATAACCTGATTGTTTGAATCGTTCACAATGGGATTTGGTGTTTGTTGAATAACTTGATGATCGGACTCTAACGCCAAATCTTTCTGTTTATATATGTATATGAGAAAAACTAAAGAGCAACACCTAAAATTCCTCCTACGACACCACCTGCTATACTGCCAACATTTGCTCCTTTTTGCTGAACTGAATTTCTTACTTAAATAGTATTGTTATCTGTTGTAGCCGTTGAAGATATTATTCCTGTTTTTTCAGTCGTTGTGGCTAACGGAATTCCAGACAACGTTGAAGAGGTTTTAGTGGCTGATGCACGCGATGAAGCGTCTGAGGCGTCAATACAATAAGTTGTGATTGATCCATCTACACCTGCAGCATCAGACTTGGATTGTGGGTCAGAAGAACATTGATTATAACACACTCTCAAATCTATAGAAAAGAAAGAGATCAAATTCAATAACCTGTTAATGAAAAAAATATAGCAAAAAATGAAATTCATCTTTATATTTTTAACAGAGGCAACCATAGTCAGTACCAACACAACTATTGATGGCGTTTTTTAAAGTTGAGACACATGAATCTTGTTGAAGTTGTGCAGCACAAGCAGCTTCTTCGCTATAAGGGACGTATGTGATTGCGAGTAAATTACAAAGGCTGCAAAAATATATTTCATCTTTATTTATGTTGTCGTTTGTGTGTTGGATGTGCGAGTAAAAAAGAACGTATCAATTTGAACGATTCTGTATTCTCAAAATTAATGTCAGCGTTAGACATTGTGTCGTTAGTACATGTAAAATATATTACATGTACTACGTAATATTATACTTTGTAATCTAATTTTTGTTTCATCTTGCTCAAAATACATGTATTGTAATTGCTTTAACGCTGTTCCTGATATAAACTTACATCAAAAGATTATAGTGAACAGGTTATAAGAAGTTAGTATATGAATAATAAATAGAATTTTTTAAATATAAAGCTAATAATTGAACAATGCAAATAATATTCTTAATGTATGCAATTCTAAATCCACCAAATGAATTAATATCGATATTAGCAATTGAAATTTCTGGTAATCCTATTAAGAAAATAAATTAATATAAGAAAATAAATTTACTTGGAATATGCTTCTTAAGTAAGAATTTCAAAACATATTGATTTTGTTGTTGATTATTATTTGATATTGTATTCCTCGTATAGATTTCATCACGTATATACGTAGTCGTCCCTCCATACAATCACATCTTGGGACCAGAAAAGTATGAATTTAATGAGGTTGTGACTATATGGAAGTCAAAATTCCTATGCTTCATAATAGCTGGAACCGGGAAAATGTGACTGTATAAAGATGACTATATATATGGTGTGATTATATGAAGATACTGCTATTCGATTGATTATTATCAACCATTGAATATTCAAAGTATATGCTTTATCAAGGCAGTAAAAAGCTTTTACATATATGGTAATTTGTTCTATCGCTTATTATATATCAACAAAAAAAAAACAAGTTGGTACTACTAATCTTTGATAATATAAAAGGTTATATCTAAGTAAATCATATCAAACTTGTATTTTTTAAGAAATAACCTTGTCTTAGTAATAGCTTTAAATTTTTAATCAAGATACATTATGAAGTACCCCCAGAAGAAATTGCACCATGAATTTTGTTTGAGTAAATTTAGGTTTAAATTTTTTGCAAAGTGAATTAGTATTGAATCACAATTCAACAAAGAAAAAATTTTTCACATCTGACCAAATGTAATATAATAAATATCATGTTCAAACTTTTAGTGTTTTCAAATTTCTCTTGATATAAAGTAGCAGTGTTGAAAATTGAATAATTGTTTCAATGGACTTTTTTGACAACTGAAAGCTCATTGAAAAGTTCAATTTGATATTGATATTGTTCTATTTCTCTTGTAATACATCAAACAAGATTGAATTTATTTGGTCTTTAAGATAGAGATGAACAGAATGCATGTGCATGTACATCAATAAAAAAATAAAAATACAGTATATTTATCATTTTGTCCAGCTTAGAGATGGCGCAGCAAGTACATGATGCTTATTTGTCACCCGTTGCAACACGTTGCAACTCCAAAATTTTATAAGCTGCAACTAGTTGCAATTAGATGATGCTTTATTTGTCACCACGTTGCAACAGTTGCTGCGCCATCTTTAGTTGTTGCTGTTAATATTGATGTTGTTATTGATGCTATTATTATTAATGCTGTTGTTGACGAAGTTGATTTACAAATCTGCTTGCAAGAATTCTTCTGAAATTCTTCTGAAAAACTAAAGCTGCTTGGTTTTGTAATTGTTGTTGTCATTGCTGTTGTAGAAGTTATCAATGTTGTTGTAGTTATTGTTATCTGGTTTGTCTAGCTTGTGTTCTCTCTGTTCTACTTGTCTTCAAATTTAATTTATATTGTTGCCTTCGCTATATGAAGTCATGGATATCTTGACACAAATTTTGAACGTAGTTTATAATTTGTTGATTGATTTTTGAAGAGTAATCAGACACTCAGATAGTAAGTTGAGTAAGAGTTTGAGAGGTATCAGTATTGAAATTATAATGCTCGAAAAGTGTTGCTATATATACTTTTATTTGTTGTAAATCTTCACTTGGTATAGTTTGGTCAATTTCAAGTGCAATTAAGAGTAATTGGAATTGTCATTCTACTTCTATGCTTCCAGATTGTATGAGATCCAGATTTTCTTTTTCAAATTTGCCTTTATAGAGAAAGCACCAAAAAGACTATTACTGTTTTGAGCTTTTGTGTATGAAAGTATTTCAAAATAACAATAATGACTGTGTTTATAGCAATTTACTTTAGATTTTTTAACTAAAAGATGTTTATGACAATAAAATGATGTTTCTTAACAAGATAAAAGGTAATGAATATAAGATTAAACTAATAACAAAACTAAACTAAAAGATAAACTTAATCAATAACTACTTAAAATTCCAAAATAAAATGTCAAATCTGACATTAAATCAAAAGAAACTTAAACTCAACTAAAAGAACTTAAAATCAAAACAGAAGAACTTGATTTTTATTAATTATTAGCACTTGTATTTATACATATTTTTATATTATAATATCACAATGTGATACAATAATATATAATATAACGCAGCATGGTGCAGTTATAGCACAACATGTGGCACAGTAAATTTATGCTAATATTATGAAATTACTGGTTCTCTTCTAAATTACACAAAATTTAACTACATAATAATTAATAATCTTGTTCTATATCTAAGTACCAATAGCAAAAATAGAAAATAGAAGTTAAACTAATATAAAAAATAATGAAATTTGCCAAGAAAATGGTGTAATTAATATATTTAAATAAAGATAACAATAAAATAAATATAGAAAGATAAGTAATACAAAAAAATAGAAAGAAATAGAAAGAAGTAGAATATTATCGAACTAAATATGTAATTCAAATATTATTATGACTAATTTTTATCATAACTGCATCTTTTGTTCACATGTTCTTATATTAAATTATTGTCAATATTGAATCAGTGACAACATATAATTTTATTAATAAAATATAGTAAAAATTTTTAATTTTATTAATAAATATTTTTATTTTTATATTAAAATAAA